TGGTTGGGGGGGAGGGGAGGAGGAGGAGGAGGAGCGTGGGGCAGCACGGGTTTTTTTTTTTTTTTAGGCTGTTTCTTCCTTTTTTTTTCTTTCTTTTTCCCTTTTTTTTTAAAATTATGTATCACAGAAAAAACTGCACAATAAACACTATTATAAAAAAAAATGTATCTTATATAAAATGGTAAAAAATGGGGGTCCATGCAAGCTGTGCATGCAGAATCCATGTATACAGACTGAATTATATTGCTTTCAACGCTGTTTCGGTAGGACCCCACTGTCTATTGTCAATGGTACCAAATAACCTTACTGTACCAAAGTCAAAAAACCTGGAGTAATTCCATTTCTCTCCCTCCCTCCCTCTCTCTCTCTCTCTCTCTCGTGTGTGTGTGTGTGTGTGTGCGCGCGCGCGCGCGTGCGTGTGCAAGGAAGAGAAACAGCTGCGTTTTCAAAAGCTCTTGAAAGGTAGCTTGGCAGGCTCTATTTGCAAGGCAGTTCCAGACATACTGGGTGGCAAATAAAAAGTCTGAGACATTGTTTGACTCTGTTTTAGCCCACAGTGAAATACTACAGGCTTTATATAAACTCCTAGCACTAATGACTTTTAATGGAAAACCTGACAGGCTTTCAATTATATAGTCACACCAAGGGTGGTGAGGCTACAATAAAGGACAAAAGCTCTTATCTCTTTGCATCTCCACCTCCTCATTGTATATCTCCCATTCTCACACTGACAGTTTAAACCTCACATATTAGGCATTTAAGCCTGAAATGATACTGACTTTGCTCCCACTACAGTGTTTTGTATATTCCTCAAGTACTGTGTAATCGCCTAAGAAACATATTTCTGTGCTGTGTAGCTTCAGTATTATGTTGACACAGTGGAAGAACTGAGGAACCTTACTTTGTTGGATCCCAAAATTTAACCACCAGCATGGTCTCTAATAATTCCGGGTGTTGTAGCCCAAAATGTGACTTTTCCTAGTTTTGAATGAAACCTACTGTTGCCATTCCAGGCACTAATCTCTCTTTTTCCTTCTTCTTTCTCCTACCAGGGGCCATCTGAACTGGCTTCAGCTGGACCGGAGAGTTCTGGAACATGACTTCCCTAAAAAGTCTGGACCAGTGGTTTTGTACTTTTGTGTCAGGTAAGTACCTGTTTTCTCTAGCCAGATCTCAAAATAGACTACTGCATCTGTGTTCCTTTAGCTGAGACCTACTTTAGCTTAGGTCTGTGCAGGGCTTGAACTGTGGTTCAGAAGGCCCCTATCTCAGGAACATAGGAAGGTGGTCACCAAAGGTAGTATGACTATTGTTCAGTGGTAGGACGTGAGCTTTTCATGTATAAATAGCCCATGGTGATCATTTTTAATGTTGTAATGTTTTGATTTTATATTGTTGTGTCACTTGTATACATTGGTTTTGTATTTTATGTTATTTTATTTTTTATTTTCTGTTGTGTTTTTGTGTTATATTGTGTATATTGTTTTAATGGGCATGGCCTCATGTAAGCCTCCCCGAGTCCCCTTGGGGAGATGGTGGCGGGGTATAAATAAAGTTGTTATTATTATTATTATTATTATTATTATTATTATTATTATTATTAGGCTGCAGTATCAGTGCGTAGCATAGAGACATGCATACTCATAGGCCTCTACACTAAAATGAGCAGTTCATCAACACAAAACCATATGGACATAGTTTCACAAGGATGTCTTCATATAGATATTCTTTCAAATTCACCAGCTTCTGTTAGGGCTTGCCATTGTTCCCTAAGCTTGAGTATCCCACTGCATGTTGATGATCATGATAGTTTACATTCCAATTCTATGCTTGGCTGGGTTTTTTTTTTAAAAAAGTTGTAATAAAAGTTGTTGTTTTTTTTTTTAAAAAAAAGCAATTGATTATGATGATGATTAATGTATAAGAAGCACTTTCAAAACCTGGGATGTGCTATGTAAGTGCTAAGTATGATTGCTGTGGTTTGCTCTTTCCTCAAACTTAATAGCAAAAATGTAGCATTGGGCCATATTAATGTAGAACCAATATATCTGTTGTGTGAATTCTGCTTTTACACTGACATGCAGAGTTTGTACCATATTGCAATGCCTGATAGTAATGGAGTAAACGATAGGAGCAATCCAAATATAGGATGTGTTGAATTGCAGTTCCTCTCTTCAGAAACCTGATAAACATAGTTCTTTATCAGAGTCTGTGGTTCCTTGACCCAGAATGCTTACTATTCTCAATAAATTAAAATCCTAAGGCTTTAAATCAAACATGGAAACAATAAACTGTACATTTATATATCCCTGATATTGAAGTGCTGAGACTTGTATAACACATAAATGCACCGTTATGGAAAGTATGTGGATGGACATAAATTAGGAACTGGATATTGAATCATCCTTCATAATAAATATTATTTTCTAACCACCAGATATATGTGCATTTATGAACTTGTACAAAATCCACATCCAAATGCTTTTTGCAATCTAAACCAAAGAAAAATAATGCATTAGGAAACACTTCATAGTGGAAGGAAATTTGTGGAGATAAAATAAGCTATTGCTTGCTAAGTGGGCTTTAGGGAGATGTTTTAAAGTAGGAGAGTGAAAGATTGGCTCAGAAGACAAACACCATGAAGTTCAAAGTAAAAAATTACACGCACACACAGATATGGTCAAGAATTCAGTTGAGAGAACTAGATACAGCTTTGTAGAGAACAAGATAAAAAGAGGTAAATGATGATACGCAAAACTTGGAGAAATATCAGTAGAGGGAGATATAAACTGGAACCTGGAAAGGGTTCTCCCCAGAAACCCATTAATGGCATACCCAGGATCAGGGGGATTCTGGGAATTGTCATACAAAAAGGAACTTTTCTCAGTTTTGTATTATAGATATCACAGTATTGTGGTCCAAATAGTAAGGAGAAAAGTAAAAGAAAGAACAATTTCTGTAAATCTTTTCAAGGTGTTTCAAGAAACTACTTTCAACTATCTATTGCAGCGGTTCCTAACCTTTTTTGACCAGGGACCATTTGTCTGGGGACCACTTTGACCAGGGACCCCTCTCCAACATCAGTACCAAAAGGGTTACGAATCAGATTTTGGTCAACTATAGATTAGGTTAGGTTATTTGGGATACTGATTCAGAAAATTGCATTGGATAGACCACATCAGCTCTAGTTTCTGATACAAAATATGTGCCATCCAGTAGTCATCATCTGCTCACCCACAGAAAACCATGTTTAATAATCTAGAGCTGATGTGGTAGTAGTTGGCTCATCACTATAAGAGGGTTTCGTGCACCCAGTCACTCTCGTTGCTGCATGGTTTCAAGGCAATGGTGAGGTCGCAGACCATATTTTCGTTCTTGCGGACCACTGCTGGCCCACAGATCCCAGGTTGGGAACTACTGATCTATTGAATGAATTAACCCGAGAAACTGACCCAAGAGCTTCATTGTTGTGCAGTATTTTATAGCCAAACCAAGCACTGACTTTGTTCATATATGGGCTCTTTAAAAACCTCATATTTAGAGAGGAAAGTGTAGGAACTGTGTTATCCTGTGTTATCTTTCCCAATCTTGTGGAATGGACATCCATCCCATGTCCCTATAGCAAACCTATCGCAGGATTTTCTTGGTAAGATTTGTTTAGACAGGGTTTACTATTGCTTTCCACTGAGGCTGAAAGAGGGGCAGGGGCGGCTCAACCCATTACGCAAAGTAAGCATTTGCAGTATAGTTGATTTTGCCCAGGGCGCTCTTGAGGCACTCTTGGGGGGGAAATAGACCTTGACATATGCGAGTTGTAGTTACTGGGATGTATAGTTCACCTACAATCAAAGAGCATTCTGAATTCCAGCAATGATGGAATTGAACCAAATATGGCACACAGAACTCCCATGACGAACAGAAAATATATATCAATGATTGGTTGGGGGGGGGGGGGGCGGTGCCAAAATACTGTTTGCTTACTGTTGAAAATTACCTAGGGCCGCCTCTGGAGAGGGGCGACGTGAACCCTTGTCTCCAGAGACATAAACCAGTGCCAAACCACTACACTGTCTGAAAAGATTTATCTCATTTCTAGCCATCCCCTGCCACGCGTTGCTGTGGCCCACATAGGGTTCTGTGGCCCAATTCTATTGTTGGTGGCATTCAGAATGCTCTGTGATTGTAAGTGAACTACAAATCCCAACAACTACAACTCCCAAATGTCAAGATTCTATTTTCCCCAAACTCCACCAGTGTTCACGTTTGGGAATATTGAGTATCCATGTAGAGTTTGGTCCAGGTCCATCATTGTTTGAGTCCACAGTGATCTCTAGATGTAGGTGAACTACAACTCCAAAACTCAAGGTTGATGCCCACCAAACCCTTCCAGTATTTTCTGTTGGTCATGGGAGAACTGTGTGCCAAGTTTAGGTTCAATTCCATTGTTGGTGGGGTTCAGAATGTTCTTTGATTGTAGGTGAACTATAAATCCCAGCAACTACAACTCCCAAATGACAAAATCAATTTTTTGAGTGAAGGACATACATTGGGTTGTTAGGTGTCTTGTGTCCAAATTTGGTGTCAATTCCCCCAGTGGTTTTTGAGTTCTGTGAATATCACAAACGAACATTACATTTTTTTTATATAGTACTAGCTGTGCCCTGCCACGCGTTGCTGTGGCCTATAGTAAAACTTATCAAAGTTGAGGTAGATATCTGGACTATTATGAAAGAGAGGTACCTACCTATTCCTTCCCCCTTTTCGCCCCCTTTCTCTCCTTTCTTCCTTCTCTACCTCTTTCTTTCTTTCACTACTTGGTTTCATCCTTCTCTCTTTCCTTCATTCCCTCCCCCTTTCTTCCTTTGCCTTTCTTCCCTCCCTGTTTGCTTCCTTCTTTCACTTTTTATTTCCTTTTATTTTACCACCATCATAACAATAACAATAATGCAATGCATTGCCTCTGGGACCTGACACCTCTCCCATTCCTCCAGGGTCTCATAGGAACAATAGCATAATAATAATAATAATAGAAATAACAACCTTTACCCGCCACGTGTTGCTGTGGCCAATCTTCCCTCTTTCTCTCCTTCTTTCCCTCCTTCCTTCCTTCCCATCTTTCCTTCTCCTCTTCTTTCTCTATCTCTTTCCTTCCTTCCCCCTTTTTCTTTCTTTTCTGCTGTCTCTCTTTTCTTTCCTTCCATCTTTCCTTTTCTTTCCTTTTCTTCTTCCTTCTTTCTCTAACTTTCCTTCCTTCCCCCTTTTTCTTTACCTCCCTTTCTCTTTCTTCCTTCTTTCCTTCCTTCCTGTCTTTCCTAGATTTTGACAGGGCGGGAAGGGGCGGGGTGGGGTTTGGAGGGGGCGTGAAGTAAAAGGAGGTAAGATTGGGGTGGGGGAGTGATGGAGCGTGGGGTTGTGTGTGTGTGTGCAGCGGCGGGGGGAGTGATGGAGCGTGGGGTTGCATGTGTGTGTGCGGCGGTGGGGGGGGGAGTGATGGAGCGTGGGGTTGTGTGTGTGTGTGCGGCGGCGGGGGGGAGTGGGGTTGCGTGTGTGTGTGCGGCGGCGGGGGGAGTGATGGAGCGTGGGGTTGCGTGTGTGTGTGCGGCGGCGGGGGAGTGGGGTTGCGTGTGTGCGTGCGGCAGCGGGGGAAGTGATGGAGTGTGGGGTTGCGTGTGTGTGTGCGGCGGCGGGGGGAGTGGGGTTGCGTGTGTGTGTGCGGCGGCGGGGGGAGTGATGGAGTGTGGGGTTGTGTGTGTGTGTGCGGCAGGGGTGTGTGTGTGTGCGGGAAGCGGCGCGGCGGGGCTTGGAGTGGGCATGGTTTCCGCAGAGGGAACGTTGGCCGGAAGGGCATGTGCGCGCGCCAGGGAACTTGCGGCTGGGCGCCAATGCGCATGCTCAGTTGTTTTGCCGTTTTGTGAGTGTGTTGTTGTGTTGTTTTTCATTTTGAGTAGATATGTTTGTACCTTGTGGGTTGTGTTATGGGCATGGGAATTTTGGTTAAGTTTCGTTGGGGGATTTTTGAGTTTTGTTGTTTTGCCGTTTTGGGTGTGTTGTTGTGTTGTTTTTCATTTTGAGTAGATATGTTTGTACCTTGTGGGTTGTGTTATGAGCATGGGAATTTTGGTTAAGTTTCGTTGGGGTTTTTTTG